TCAACTTCTGAAGATTTCGTTTCATAAAAACTGGCGTTAGCGCGGACATGTTACTGCATGCTCTTACCTGATTCATCATGTTCGAATTTTCTTTCTTGCAAGCGACTTTGCATTTCCTGTTTATGAAAATACACGACATTAAACCAAGTTTGCGGTAAATTTTATCAAACCCTCTTGATATAATACTTAGGTAATCTGGTAATTGAATGATGAACTGCCATAGGAACTCGATAATACAATAACAAGATTAGGTTAACCGTGACCTGAGTCAGTAGTATAGTAATGGATGATGAGATATGTTTAATTTTATATCAATGTTTCCCTTGCATCGTGGGCACTTGCTACGTGCTCTGCCTTTCATGTGTTTGGTCCTGTGTCGACGCAAGATTATAGACTAAAAAAGACAGAGATTAACTTCTTCTTTCTCCCAACCCAAAGCAAGATAATTATGTCTATCCAATTAAAGAGGACGAAGATCACGAAGAATCAATGAGAGCCCACAACGTAAACAAAAAATCAAAAGAAAAAAACACAAGTTTCAAGAGCGGGAAAACTCGGAGGAGCAATTAGCGATTAGTTGTACTGTTTTTTATCCGTTCGGTTGACAAGACGGCGCGAGTTTTCAAGAACAAACACAGAGTGGATAACTTTTAACACGTAACTTCAAAAATGTTCTTCGATAAATTTATTGATTTCGAGAAAGTTATTTACCTTCCAATACAGGTAAGTAAAACCCATATAACAGCCATGCAAAAGAGCGCTCCGAGGGCTATCCATAGAGCTGATCATAAAAGGGAAAGAAAAAAACAGAAAATTTCGTCAAAAACGTTCGTTCGTTCGTCCATATACAGTACTTGACTTTTGTTCCGTCTTTTTTGCTCATATTTGTTTCTGGTGACTTTTTCCTCAATCTATTAAGACTTTCCTGGAAAGATTCGTATCATTCATTTGCGAAAAAGAAAAAAAATGCCTTCCACATGAGTGATCCTAACTATCCATGGTATCATGATAGATTTTTAATTTTCAATACAAAGATTAATCACTAGAATAGGATGAGATAAACAGATACTCACGCATGTATGGGTAATCAGGTGACCGCTTGATCTCTAGTTTGCATGTGACCTTGTTTGATGATTGGCCATCAGAATGATGGATGTTATACTCGTACCAACCTCTCTCACCAAAAAGGTAACTAAGCCTGTAATACACATCACACAGTCAACATTGAGACGAAAATACCAAGGACACTAATCTGGAAGAGGTCAAGTAATGATTTAAGTGATCTCAGGTGCTAATTGTAGTTGTCCATCGAAAGGTAGCTTCCTAAACGCATGGCAATCAATACAATAACATTGCTTTCAACATTTTAACTTCCTGATGAGATATATTGTTTCTCGTCAATCTCTTTATAGTGCAAATAAAACAGCAGGTAAATTTATCTCAAACTGAACAAATACACCTACATGAACCATGCCGCACTCAGACCGAGATAAATCCAAAAACTTTTACAAACTTTTTCTTTTCTCTTCAAGTGCCCGAATGTTATCCCTTATTTTCTTTATTTTTATCTCTGCCTATGCTGGTGTCGATTTCCGCTACTTTCTCGGTTGGGGTTGTCGACACTCCCTTTCCCCCCCTCCACCCTCCCCCCCCCACCCCTCTGAGCGTTGGCTAATGAATCCTATGCCTCAGCTGGCTCTTCTTGTTTCATTGGAATTATTTTTTTTAATGTTCAGTCGTCTTGAATTAGCAAGTTCTTCGCCGACGAGCTAATCAATGCTGATATCGCCTAAAAATTTCACTTTTTACTTGAGCCTCGTTGAAATTGAAATTAATATTGAGTCAGTCACAAACCTGCATAACTCTTGAGATCCATTTTTCATTTTAACAGAGATGGTAAAACTGTAATGTGTGTTTACCACAAGGGGGGCGGCTCCATTGAGGAGCTGAGGTATAATTTCCTGTATTGGGCACTGCAAAGAAGCACAAGTTTAATTGATGCAACAAAATGGATATTATTATCAGTTTGTCGGGCATCGTGCAAAATGGTTCACTTGCTCGCGTGGTAGTTCAGGCTGTTATTTTTTTATTTTTTATTTTTCTGTCATTCTATTTTATCAGTGCTCTTCAAGTGATTAAAATCCTGGTACAGTTTATTGCCTTTGATATAAATGTTTTGGGCTCCCTCACCTGGCGGCACGGATAAAAATGGCACCTAGTCGGGCCAAAAACAAAGTTATGAACACGAACACACTGTTTTATCACCTCGTAACAGTTTGACGATATCCCTGATATTGTAATAGGCTCCTCTAAAGTGGAACTGATATTCACAAAAGCGGTGTCCATTTTCAACTTATTCGGTGATAATTTTTCCTCTTGCGGACATGACGATGATGACATGTTGGACACCAGACCTGCCAGTTGCAAAATGCTATTAAAGACCGTTCACAATTTATCGCCTGAGGGGGGTGGGATGGGGGGTGGAATTGAAGTTTAGAGGTTTCTGGTTGTGCTGCGATAAAATTTATCCTATTCCCCCATAAGGCTCTGTGATATTCTTATGATACCCTACTTGTCCACTAATTAACCGCCAATGAAGAGTCCCTCCTTGATACTCTGTCGGCGACGACTGATCCCCCCCTCCAGTCCCCCTTAAAACCAGTGATCCTCCCAAATGATGAATAATGTCTGGTTCCCAAAACCTCCTTTAGGCGATTTTGTCCAAAAAGGGCTTAGAACTCAAGCCTCGAAGTCTCTTTAATTAATTAGATGATGCGGTCCTTTCAAGGCAAAGGAGCTTATTATAAAAGATGAAAGCCCAGTTTTGGTCCTTTAATCTTCAGTTGTAATCCATGACAAAAGGAAACAAATGTCACGGATTCATCAAAACAGCACATGTGGCGTTTCATCATTTTTGGGAACGCATTTAGCGTGAATTAATTGACTGATTTCAAATCATCTCGAAAGGGTTTGCTTTCATCCTCTCTTTCTGATAGCTTCGTTCATTTTCGTTAAAATTCGACCGGGAACTTAATTGCGCCTTCTTCTTTCCTGAGATTATTTTAGATGTAATGATATGACAAACCTTTCGATGTTTATTCCAGTTGATATTTTGATTGACATAACCAAAAGTAACTTCTGTTTCTCATGATAAACACATCAGAGTTTCAATGTCATTTTGAGACATTGTTTTCATGCAGAAAGAAATGGCATTTCTGAATCTCCAAAGTAACTGAATTTTCTTTTTTCTTAGTATTTCGATACCTTAACAACGGTAACAGTGATAAGTAAAAATGAAAAAAAACCAACATTTTGCTTCATATTCAAGTAAGATACATTTCCAGTCAAAGAGAACTCGCTGTATTGGCCGCCTAATTAAATTCATCATCATGTTTTCATTTGAAAATTTCCTTTCGACCATGGCCGATTTTATCAAATATTCGCCATTTTAACTGTTTCAAGAACTTCAAAGAAACGCAGAGACGTCTTTCAAGTGAGCGTGAGTTATAACGAACTTTATCAAATAGACGTATTGAAGGAGATAAGCAGCTATAGAAACACAATACTCAAGTTTGTAGCTGAAGCGCCCCGTAGTGTAAGGAAAACGGGCGCTTGCCTTTTGCCAAAGGTAGTATATTAATCTTAGTACTTACCAACGAACAACAACAAGAGGAAGGCAGTGCTAAGAAGGCGCCTTGAAGACATGTTCCGCGGTCAAGTGTTTTCAGCTCTGTAATGATAAGTGAAAGCAGGATGGCTTGAAACTGTAATGTAAGAAAGGACGCGGGTTTTCTAATTTGACCTCTGTAACCTGCCCACAGGCGTCATGCATAACAAATATTTATATTTATCCGTCTGACACCCAAAAGCGCTTTAACACTAACCTCACCTCTCATTATTTGTACACTATGCATCAAATAGATCATGTGCAGAGACAAACTGATTGCTGAAGAAAAGCTTTATCATTGACATAACGTGATATGTTCTTATCTAATTTAATTAATTTTTGGCAGTCAGATGAATGTGTAACAATCAGAGGCATATCAACCATTTGAATCATGGGAGTTGAAGGTTGAAAATTACGTGGACACAATTCTTCGACGAAACACGAGAGGTTCTCCTGTCACGGGGTCACAGCATCTGAAAAATGATTTCCTTCTAATTTCCCACATGCACCAAATTATTTTCTGCTTCGATCTTAATGGCAATAAGTAGCACTTTCCAATCGATTCCCGTTCATTCATTTCCTTAGATATTCGTGTGACACATGCGAATCTATTTACCTAAAGAAATAATTTATCGTGACTACCAACACAGTGGCGTACTTTTTCAGTATAACTTGACAAGAGGAGATAGATTTACCAGACATCAGAAACTTCATGTTTACAGCATGATTGGATACCTTTGACAGATCCACGAGTGATTTTTTTTTTAATTGAAAGAAAGAGTTACTATAAGCATTTCAATGAACAACGATAGCTGGCAGAAGGAACTTAGTGATCGAATTAATCTTTGTGAACGTTTCGTCTCAGATTGAAATCAGTCTGAAGGAAGGACAACAACGGAATGAAAATAGAATTATAACTACACTTAATTGTTAACTATAATTCCAACTTCCCAAATTTTTATGACTCACGTGTAGTAAAGCTCATGTCAGTATCCCAACATTTCTCGGCTGTTACTTCCTTTTATTTCCCCGTCCGTTTTCCAGCCTCAAGAAGTCCTATTCCAGAAATTTTCATTGCTACTTTCTAGTTCCAGTCTATTTCTGGTCCTCCTGTTGTTTCATGGAGATTCATGCAGACGACCATATAGTATTCATGGCGTTCTCTGCTGTTTTTCTGGTTCTTGCACTACTTTCTACTCAAAGATTAGGTAAGTTTACAATTATAAGATGACTAAGACATAGTTATATTCAATTAAGAAGGCATACTCTGTTCCAAAGACGAACGGTGAGCGCAAATATGGACCGTTGCGTTTGTGTGCTCAACTTTACATCATTTGGTGACGTCCTTGTATTTGAATGCTGATGAGTGCCATACACGCTTACATTCAAAGTATTGAGTAATGGCTTTTGGATTAAGAAATTACAATTTTCTTGATGACAGATTTAGAATTTGCCCAGGTATCTCTACCATCGGAAAATTTTCTTCAGTACACTGTAGTTTCCCGCGAGTGAAACTTCCTTCCCGAATCATGTGACTTCGAGGTTCAAAGAAGAGTTCACAAGTTAAAAAAAAAACAATAAATTGAAAAATAGAGGCAATTCGAGGAACGAAAAAATGATTTGAGGATGAAAGCTTCTCGATGCGTCTTCCTAGTCTCCTTAAAAATTTCTAAATTTTTCTAAATTGTTAAAAATGTGTAATTTTTTTATTTGTATAATGTGTAATTTTTTTTCCTTGTATGATGATTTGTTTCGTGGTGTAAATTGAGCAAAACTTGAAATTACGAACAAATGGACTTTATTACCATACAGTCATATTGTATTGTATTGGCTGATAATGCACAATAATAATTATGGTTTACAAAAACAGTGCTAACTTTTCTACATTCTTGGTTATTCAGGACTTGCAAGTCACCGTTTGCCATCCAAATCACTACCAACGGACTCACACGTTGATGTGAAATCATTGCCAATGGACACAGCCTTGCTACAACTGACTTTGACTTCAGATATTAAATCAGTTAATGTGTTTGGTCTCTCTAGTAACTGCCATAAGGTACATGATGCACAGGCTATTAACAGTGGATCCATAGTAACTCTAATATTCCTTAGTTTTTGTTCATTATTGTTCGTCGGTTAGAAAAAACACTTCATCAGTCAGTAAGTGCATCAGTTTTTTTTGCCATAACTCCACAAATTTAACAACCCAGGTGGACCCATTCTCTCTGTATGCTGTTGTCCCACCAAGCTTATTTCTAGCTATTTAGACAAAATTATGCCACCTATCATCAAAACTTTACCATCGTACCTGAAAGACAGCCAAAACGCATTTGAAAATTTTTGCAATTTCTGTGGTGAAGGCAAATATCTTTTCACTCAGGTGGCAAAGGTCCCCTGTTTGTTAAAAAAATTTTTTTGATCAGTACGCTGCTAAGGAACCTAGCTCTGTAATACTACTCTACTGAGCCAAACTAGTCTTATTGCTTTGCCTTTAGGGATATCTATTACAAACTAATGGTATAGCAAATGAGAACCAAAATGGGACCTGGCTTTAATTTGCCAATCTTTTTATAGGTTATTTTCAGCTAACACAACAGACCCAAAGCTGAACTCTACAGTCACAACATTGATAAGTGTCTCTGTGCTACCTTCTCAACCAGAGAGGAGCTATCTCAATTTAGAATGGCTGCTAATTCCTTGGGAAATTTCTGACACTTCTTGGGTTTTTATTTATATCAAAGTTTCATTTGAAGGCAACGGTCTACGTACTAGTGTGTACTACAAACCTACTAACTTTTCGTATTTTCTTGCATTATTTTGTAGTGTATCTTTGAACCTTTGGCAAAAAACCTAAATCACTCTTTAAATGTAACTGTGGAAACAAATTTCCCAGTTACACTCCTCGTCAATGACTCCAAAGGAACACATGTATGCGAGTAAGTACAAAGTTAGCTACTGCACTGTACTAACTCTAAAGCTTCATCAATTTTGTAAATCTAATCAATTTGAACTTCTGAGTAATACACAAAAATCGTACTGTAGTGGAACCCCATAGACAGTAATTGGTTTAAACAGTCATTCTGTTATGCATTTTCAAATAACTCAAATGCTTTATGGCTTGTGCTGGCCCTTTTGTCAACAAAATTTCATATAATATATACTTCTCAACACATTTATGTAGATGTATTTAGGCATTCCTTTATAATGAAATAATTATTAAATTGATGAAATGAACCCTCATAGTCTGTATGATGATATGATGGTAATTAAAATACCCTTGTGCTTTAGGAACAAAACTGAAACTTTTGGAGAACATGGCTTTTACATTTACACTATCCATGGATATAAAACCAAGACAAGCTGTAGTTTATATACGAAAATAGATCCAGACAATGCATATTTACGTAAGTTTCTATACTTTCAAAGTAGATATTTTAATACAGTGTATCCACTTTTATGGAACTTAAAAGTTCCTTGAGGTAAATTTAAGTAAATGGACATGTTTAAGTTTACCTTTTAGCTCCTGAAAAGGAGAACACTGTATATCCAATTGGATATACCCTCCAGATACTATTTGGATTCATTGTAGACTGTGTTGTTACTGGTCAGGGAATCAAACATATTAAGCTCCCTTACCTGTTTGTGATCCCTAGTCCTACTTCCTGATTTGAACAGATCAAAATGATTTAATGCAAGTTTATTTTCTCTTGTTGCTAATTGTATTTTTTCATTTGTCTTTAGCTTTATTGTATGCATTTTTGGTTATTCTTGGGGTTGCCTTAACTTGGCTTGTTCTTCTATATCTTCTAAGGTAAGAATGGAATGCTCACAATGTGTTAGTCCAGCTACCCTATATCTTAACAAAGTACACCTTATATAGGATGCTGATAAACATAGTTATTTCAGCTGCCTCCTGTCCAATTTTCATGTACACTACAGTTGTATATGGAGTGCTGAACCTGGTACTGTACGGTAAATATTGTTTTCATACTTTTTCAAGCAAGAGCACTTTGTCAAATTCAATGTGAACAGGTGAAAACTCTCCTTCCATGTAAAAAAATGCAATTTTGTCTTCAGCATTGACTTTTACAAGTTTGATTTCATAGGAAGTACAATCTCTTGGTCAACTGGGAACTTTTTCATGACACAGAAAGTCTTATAAATGCGGTAAGCTTACTTACATGTGAGATGACAATTTTCCATCTGTCGTGGAAAGCAAATATAGTTTAAATAAATGAATGAATAAATGTAATGCATAATTTTATGTATGTATAGACAAAGAATCAGACATTTGCTGAGGAACATGTAAAGATGGACAAATTTTCTCTTAATTACGTGTAGCAGTTAAATGAGGTAGAATTAAGCTATTTTTCATATTTGTCTATCAGGATCTTGGAAGCCCCAATTTCAATGGCCCTGTAGATGGTTCAGGACATCACATTGATCCTCATGAATTGGTAAGTTTAATTGGGCCATACATAATTTTGTTTTTCAAAAATAATGAAAATAATGAGAGATCACAAGTTCATTTCTCAAAATTACTTTTCAGCATGAAAAGCCAAAGAAACAAAGACTTAAATCTTTGGACACATTTCGCGGGTGAGTCTCCATCAATGAAAATCATGACTTTCAGTGAGCCATTAATTGGATCAGTCTTAGTGATTCACTGAATCAGTCAATGAGCTGAGTGCTTTATGAAGTTAAGCTCTGGTAAAAATTGGGGCAAACCAGGGAAGTGCTGAGGGGGGCCCAATCACGAAATCCAACCTTATAGTCTCCCCTTACTTTAGTGAGCCTCAAGCTAGTCAGATGGTTTATTTGGAAGTCTTTATTTGTGTATTGTTGCTGGTTTTAAGAAGTAGATTTGTCATAGTACATGCGTATACAAATATGCACTCCTACATTTTTGAATGAAAAATAACGAATATAGTACCCAGTGGGAACCTTGGACACAGAAATGAAAAGTAAATCACATGAGAGATTCCAAATGGGTTTATCTTTGGAACATCTAAGTTTACACAAATGTATTCCAATGAGTGCAGCAGCTTGACTAATTTGGCGGAGCTCAGGGAGGTTTGTGTAGCTCAGTTATTGGAGCATCCATCCATGGAACTACATAGTTAAAAAAAATACTTTTTAATTAGTACAGTGTAGCTCACATTTTTTTTCTTGTTTCATGCTCAGCCTGGTGACAATTGTTTTTAAACAATACATCTTTAATTTTAGAGTAGTATTACTGTGGCTATTTCCACACTGAGAATTATTCAATAAAAAATTTATTTATCAACAGGGCTTTGGTTAGCATATTAGCATTTGCACTTTGGCATTTTTGGTGATTGAATTAAGATATAAATTATGATTTCTTGCAGGATTGCATTGACTATAATGATATTTGTGAATTCTGGTGGTGGTGGATATTATTTCTTCAAGCATGCCAGATGGAATGGTGGGTATGGGTCAAATGATCATAATTATTAAATATATAATTTAAGATACAGGCTCCTGACCAGTTGTCATCAAAGATGCATTTTTTTAACTTTGAAATATGTCAAGCCACTGCCTCACTTACATGAAAGGGCATGTCTGTAATATTGAGGGCTTTTCATTGTGTTCAACCAGCTTCTGGATAGAAAGCTGCTGCCTTGATTGGCAAATTCCTTGCAACCCTGACATGAATTGCAGTTCCAGACACATTTCAACCGGGATTTGATTGTTGAGAAAAAAAATGGTCAGGGTGGGATGAGGTACCTTGCCTTTTAACTACTGATAGTTTCAAATTTAAACATTCTACATGTATGTGAGATTGGCCATTCGCCATAATAATCTCCCACTTGTGTCACTTGACTTTGTTAACCTGTTTTTTATTTAATGAATATTTATGTTTTTGTCTGCCCCCATAGACTGTATCCCTTACAGGTTTTTTTTTTTTTTTTTTTTAAACAATAGTCAGTTAACGTTGGCCTAATCTATTGGGCTATCAATCCTTTAAACTCCCAGGTCAAATTTGTAATCCTCCTCACTGTCAACTATACAATTCTTATAATTTTAGTTCAGAGAATTTAGTGTTGGGTCAACTAATTGTCCTCAAATTTTTCTTTATTCTCATCGCTTATCTGGTTGACATTTTATAGATATTGTAAGGAGAAAATTCTTTCTTGATCACTCGTGGGAGTGAAAGTGTTAATGGCAGTGGAATAATCTCTACCTTGTTCATGTGGGTGAGATAGATGTTCTCTAACTATACATGGAGGTAACTGTATCTTCCATGAGAGATAATAGATCAGGGTAGAGCTACTAGCTATAGTAAGTGATTCCTATTTCTTTTACAGGGCTTACAGTTGCAGACCTTGTCTTTCCATGGTATGTTACTACTAGTAGTAAGATTACTTCAACATTAATTTTAGTATTTTTTGTTATTCTTTAGCATTGATTTACAGTAGAGCTCCTCTACCTTATACTCCTAACGGAAACAAAAATGAACTGTTGTCAGGGTTAGTAGGGGATTCAAGTTAGCTGATAGTAAGTGACTGAAAAAAAACTGGGTCAAGGGAAATCAGAGTTTGTTCAAGTTTTTGGTGGGGTTTGTGTTCACCTAGTTCCAGTTGGGGAGGTTCTACTGTACAATTGATTTTCAGTCAGGACAGTCATTTGCTTTTCTACAGTTTTGTGTTTTTTTTCACTTTTGGTTTACTGATTGATTAATTGATTGATTGATTGACTAATTGTCATTGCTGTTTTAGTCTTATTTTTAAGATATATCTATTATGATTTAGAACCAAGTATGTCACCTTACGATAGTTCTTTAGCCCTTTAACTCCCAAGATCTCACCAGTAATTCTCCTTACTGTCTGCCAAACAATTATCATCATGTTTGTTTGGAGAATTTGGTATTGGATCAATTAGTAATCCTTTAATTGATATTTTTCTTAATTCTCATCACTTGTCTTCATGATATTGTTTAGATATAGTAAGGAGAAATTCTGTCTTGGTCACTAACTTGAGTTAAAGGGTTAAAGCATTAATTTATACATGTACGTATACGATCAATGGTATTGTATCTTAAAATGTGCGTTCATTACAATTATAAGTAAAAGAAAAAGGGAGAATTATGTTGGCTTAAAGGTCTGTGCAAGAAATTGTCTTGAATTGATGTTTCAAGCAAAGTTAGGGAAGTGGAAAACTCTGCAAAAGTAAACTTTTGATATGAACATTTTACCGATTTTTCCCTTTTCTTTCTTCTTTGTAGGTTTATGTGGATTATGGGTGTTTCCATGGTTATTTCGTTTCAATCTATGAGACGTCGCCAAATGAGATCCATAACTATCTTTGCCAAGATTATCCGTCGCACACTCATTCTGTTTGCACTGGGGCTTTTTGTAAGCAATTGTAAGTTGATGATGCCCTTAAATGCCCATGCAACACTCTTAGCCAGTTATTTGAGTTTTATTTTCTGGTTTTTTTTTCCTACCATTCTCCTTTAAATTGTGAAGTAAAACGTTGTTTCTTTCTCCTCACCTTTTTGCCATTTTGTTTTTCGCTTTTTCCCTCAATTTAAATATTCTGCAATGTTTGGAATTAATTGACGTGTTCTGGGCCAATAAGCATGCTGGATTTTCTCACATGCATATGACAAATGTTGCCGTTCTTACCGGCTGAAATGTTGTTGGCACACAGATGCAGACCTTGCTCACTACAGAGTACCAGGAGTCCTACAAAGATTTTCTGCTTGCTACTTTATCACTGCCATGCTCCAGTTGGTTATTAATCCTGGAACTGATTCTATCCTGGTAAGTTGCATGCATGTGCGTGTATGTTGTACCCACAAGTAATTCGCACAAGAACACTTATTCAGCTGTCTCTTTAATTAGTAGTTTCATTGCAATCTTGAATTCAGTGTGCCCTTTTACTTCATGGATTGAAACATGTCTGATTATTTTGAATTCGATAGCCAGTTGCTGCATGGTGGAACCCTATCAGGGATGTCTTCGCTTTATGGGGTCAATGGCTGGTGATGCTGGGCCTACTAGCTATCTATATCATCATCACTTTTGCCCTCAAAATTGGTGGTTGTCCAAGGTAAGGGTCTAAAGAATTGTTTCTGTTTTTTACTTCTAGAATTGTCGTTTTCACTTGTAGTGTTCACAGCTGCTGTTAGCAAACCGAAAACGTTTAAGTTGATCATATCAAGTCACTGTCATGTCAACGTTGAGTTGAATACGGTGCTTTCGACATCTGTGATCGCAGCAATATGCAAGAAGTTTGTCGCGTAGAAAGCAAGTAGATTTTTAACTCGCCAACGAGCTCTCTGTCACTCAGTTGTAGAGAATTAGGCTGCTAAATCCGAAGTTTTAGAGTTCAATTCCTAGTGGGGAAACTCAGATTCTTATTATTTATCATACGCTCGTGTCGAAACGAACGACGACTTTCATCATGAGAGATTTTGTTCTTGCAGAGGTTATATCGGACCGGGGGGTCTTGCTTCACCTGAAGCTTACAATTGCACCGGTGGGAATGCTGGTTACATTGACCGACACTTTTTTGGATCAAAGCACATCTACGGGCATCCTACTTGCATGGTAACGTTTATACATATATACTGTCTTACCTTAATAACTTAATAGCAGTATTTTTTCGCGCACTTTTCGATTTAATGTCGTAAAAGTGAATCTAAGAGGTCATATTGACCAATCTGAAGAAAGGTTAACACAGGAAATAACCAGTGGGAGTTCAGAGTTTGTAACCCGATGCTACTGGTGATGAAAATCTACTCAATAGAAAGCTTCCTTCATTTATCATCGTACAAATTTTATAAAACCTGGTATTATTTCTGCCGTGAAAGCGAAACTCTAAAAAAATGAATGTGAATATATGAGTCATATATGTGAACTGCGGTTTAAGAAATGAATATGAAAGCGATCTTTGCAGTAATGAACACTTAACTTATAAGGACTGAAAAAAAATTCAGGCCTGTACGGGATTTGAACCCATGACCTCAGCGATACCGGTGCAGTGCTCTACCAACAGGGCTAACAACTTTCCTTTACAATTACTGAGCTAACTTCCTTCACTGTAAATTGGAAAACAAAAACAAAAACAAAAACAAAACAAAAAAAGGTAATCAATCTTGTGTGGAGGTGTGCCATAAGTGCAAACACCCTCTTTTAACATGAAAAATTTCAGACCTTCCGTTCTTGAGTGCCAGGCCGGAGTTGTACTTTCTTGAAAGAATAGAGTGATATTTTCATGCCATTTTTATCTAATTTGTTACAAGTTAGTTTGAGATAATAAATGATACATGGAAATTTTCTTTTGTCAGGAAACATACAAGACAGAGGTTCCGTACGATCCAGAGGGCGCTTTGGGTACCCTGACTTCTGCTTTCTTGGTGTTCCTGGGAGTTCAGGTTTGAATTAGTAGCCTTCCATGTTATTCTCAGTGCAGAGCACCTGAGGTGCCTCCAGAAGACAAGCGATGGCATTTTTAAGCATGAATTACATGCGTTTCGCCTTCAGCCTTGCCTTTGCAATCAAATGCGGTTGTGAATAATAATAACTGATAGATTTGTGTTGTGATCATCCGAAAAGGAGTATGGTCGTCGATGTCAGTGACAGACATTTTGTCAAAACGAGCAGAAGTTATTATCAGAGTCAGGTGACTCTGCCGATGACTATCACCAACAGTCCTTTACAGGAACGAACTCGCTCGAACAATCGCTTCATAAGATAGACAGATACTGCTAAGTTCAAGTTATTTCTTCAACATGCTACATTGTTATATTTCGAAGATGTTTTCTATTCTGTCTGATCAGTCAAAGATAATTTAGAACTTTTTCCTTGTTGAGACCCTTTCACCTCCAAGATCTCACAAATATTTCTCCTTACTGTCTGTCATACAATTCTTACGATGTAAATTTGGAGAATTTGGTAATGGATCAAGTAATATTCCCCTAATTTATATTTTCTTTATTCTCATCACTTGTCTGCTTAATATTGTACTGATATTGTAAGGAGAAATTCCATCGCGGTCAATAACGGGAGTTAAAGGGTTATTGAAAATTAACTATAAATTTGTTTCTTTAAGCTTAAAGCCCTAAGAAGCTGTTCACTCTTCTGTAATATCTTCTTTACACAATGTAGCTAATTATGTTACGTTTAATTTTCTGCTTTCAGGCTGGTTACACCTTGCACACTTTCCCATACAACATATCTAGAATGAAACGGTGGATAATTTGGTCTTTGCTACTTGTGAGTATTATAGACAGCAAACACAGTATGTCCCAAACATCACTTTTTTATTCCTTTAGTTGTGAGCGGGAGATAAGCCGCTTGCAATTAAATGAATGATTACATGCTTTTTCTTCAATCGACGACTGCAAGCTTTTTTCATTTTCCATCGATCTTATTTTTTTTCAATAATTTATGTCTCATTTTACTTGTGTTATTAAAATTAATAGTATCATCAATAATACCAATAGCGTTATCGTCATCGTTATCATAAGTATGGTCATTTTCCTTCCTTACTCAGGGTTGCATCACTCTTGCGCTCGCAGGCAAGGATAACGAACATGTTATACCGATAAACAAGAACTTATGGTAAGTGAGAAGGTGACTGCGCTACCCAGAAAACGGGTGAAGAATACTCCGAAAAATAATTACATTAGAGTCCATGCAAATAATAATTACGCCTCCGCGGCTTCGCCTGTTGGAAATGTAACTTAAGGTTCGTTCTTTGTCATCAGTGTTATTCTCTCTTTCCTTAGCTTTTCTGGCTCCTTCCTGGTTTGTAGTTAGTTTTTCGGTGTTGTAGATCTGGACGAACTTATATTCTATACTTTTTATAAGGTGGAAGTAATTGCGCACATCCCGAAAAATACAGTCGAAATGTAGAGAATTTCCCTTTAAACTTTGTTTTCTATTTAGATTCGGTTGATCAAACAACATTTTTGTTGCTAGGTCTGTTTCGTTTATCTTTGTCACTGGTGGCATGGCATTTCTTCTGCTGACATTTTGCTATGTGACCATTGATGTCTTGAGATGGTGGAATGGCGCGCCTTTTTGCTACCCTGGTGAGTAGGAATTTCCAAGTGAAGCAATGCGGGATACCGTATATCTGACCTTTCCTTGTTTCCCCCCAATCGTGAAAAGTGGTCTTGGGACAAAACCATTTTTTAGTGTATCTGTGAGTGTTTTTTAAGGAGGTGAGGGAGAAGGATTTTACTTGTAAAAGTGTTGTATCCTTTAAAGCCTTTAAGGCTTTATGTCATGTTGATCCTTGTGCCTTTTGGAGTAAAAGATCCGTGTGAATGTTTACTTTTACACGATACCGTGCCATCATAACCGATTCCGGTTTTACAGCGAAAAGGCCTTTTACTATCGACTGAGATGAGAAATTTAGTCTCTTTGAGAGGATCACGCTCTTTCTTTTTCTCCGGATGATTAAAACCGATAATTTTTTTTGAAGTGAGCAAGCTTGTTTTGAATGAATCCATGGCTACAAATCGATGCAAGTGTTTGAGAACATCGTATCTTTAATTTAAAGATACAACTGCCGTTTCGTGAACCTGTGGTTGATACATCTGTGAAAGACAAGAAGAGAACTATCAAAACAGAACGCAGAAACTATTATGACCCAAAAGAATTGATTTAACGCGTATACTTGATTTAGGAATTCCCATTAATTATCGGGCACGATCGGAAAACAGTACTGAAGATTCATCGTGTGGCTAATCATCTTCCTAATTACCCGAAACTTTTCTGATACCGCTAAGGTTACATTTCCTTTATAACTGGTGTGGAAGTCACCATCAACTAGGTCTTGTGAAAGTAGTTCTTGTCTTGTGACAACCGTCAAATCATCTCTAATGTGTTAATATTTGGAGCACGGAAACATTCTCTCAGCGCCACTTTACTTTCATTACCTTTTTGTCAACCAAGCGAAACAAAAGAGGTGACGTACAAGGCTGTGACGTCATGGGTGATCTTATTTCTCTTGCTTACGTCGACAAAATTCGACGCAGGAGACTGAGGGTTAACAGGCAAATTGTCTGGTTAACACCTAACCTTTTCTTTTGAAAAACATTTGGATTATTATTTAATTTCTTGCAGGAATGAACTCTATTCTAGTTTACGTGGGAAGTGAAATTCTGGGAAGATACTTCCCATTTTGCTGGACAGTCAGCGGTCACGTGCAACACGCAGACCTACTGGCTATGAACCTGGTCGGCACGGCCGTCTGGCTCATCATTTCATATTACCTTTATTACATTAAGTTTTTTGTCAAAATATAACTGATAAAGCACCTTGTTAGCTTTTAAATTTAGCGCAATGATTGGTTAGTTGAGCTTTTAATTGAGTATCTGAAGCCATTCAGATACTCAGTTACTCACTTAATCCTCTAACTTCCTTGAGTGACAAAGACAGAATGTCTCTTGGCGATATCCGTACGATGTCAAGCACATAAGTGTGATGAGAATAAAAAGAAATATCATTTAGGGGATTATTAGTTGATTATTACAACAATTTATACAAAATAAAACTGGTAAAGCAGCTTGTTAGCTGCTGTTATTAGTTGATCCAATATTAAATTCTCCGAACTATAATATATACAAAATATATATAATAGTTTCTACAAAATATAACTGGTATTAAAGCAGCTTGTTAGCTATTAAAGATGGCGCAATTATTGGTTAGTTGAGCTTTTAGTTGAGTATCTGAAGCCATCCATAAATAACGCTCACTTAACCCTGTAACTCCCATGAGTGACCAAGACAGAATTTCTTCTGGCAACATCCGTACAATATCAAGCACACAAGTGATGAGAATAAAGAGAGATATCGTGAAGGGGATTATTAGTTGATCCAATACCAAATTCTCCGAACTAACATCATAAGAATTGTATGGCAGACAGTAAGGAGAATTATTCATGAGATCATGGGAGCGAAGGGTTAAAGAGGTGATAATGACAGAAATCATTACAACTCCAAGAATTTTGCGTTTGTAATGGCCAACAAGCGCCAGCTGAAAACGTTTGAGTACAGGTCAAAACGGGGAAACGTATAGCGATGGTGAAACTCGCGGGAAAACTCGACCTCATAAATGCAGTTTTAGGCAAGCGCGGGAAAAAGGTTCGATTTGTTCTTGTTCCCGATTGGCTGAAAAGACAGGCTTGTGCCCTCCGATTGGTTAGTATATCTCTTTCGGCTGGTGACTCGTGTAGGTTAAGTCATTAATTTAAATAATTGAAATTATTATCGCAGAAAATTGTCAGTGAGTGAAAAGTTGAACCTACTTCCAATGTCGGCTTGGCCACCTCGCCCACTTTTTAAGAGCGGGTGACCCTTTAGGAACTCCACATCAGTCCTATATGGTATTCGCAACGATCAATGTATCGATTGGACGATTAATCTAGTTCTTAAAGGGGGGGCGGGGGGCGCTAAGTTCCAGTTTTATTATTTCAAAGAGTAGTTGTTCCATCATTTTTAAAATTAAGATTATTGTATAGAATTTGGAATACTTGTATCTACATAGACTAAATTCTGTTTTGAGATTAAAACATTTTATAAGTTTAGACGCTAAATAAATCTTTGGTTTTCTTTATTAATTTACTTGTTCTTAACTGGACGCATAAACCCTCTACCCTAAGCTATCTGTATAAGTTTTAAGTCTTATTTATTGCAATCGAAAACTATTCCTCCTTTTTCCTCGTTTTCCGTATTCTTAACTTTGAGTGCGTTCCTTTTATTTGAAAATGTCTCTGTGGGTGGATGGAAAGTTCTTTTAAAACAGCAGGCGGTGAGTTACATCTAATTTCACTCACTCACTATTACGCATTCTTCAAAGAAAATGCTAACTAGGGGGAGGACGTGTCCACCAAGTTGCCGTTAAACGTTTTTTTTTTCTTTTTCATTCAAGTTGAGTTGATAACTCAAAAGAGTTATTTTAGTCCCTACGATTCTACACTACAACAATCTCATGCTGTTTTGTTTGTATTTCACGCATCATTGACGTCTGGGAAAGTCCAGTCCAGCTTTTAGTTTCTGAATTGGTAATGCAGTAAGCGCGAGAAATAGCCAAGAGGCCTCAATTTCACCAATTTTTATGGAGCATTTGAGTGCTACCCTTGATTATGTAATTTCGTTTCAGCTCTCCTTCGTCAAAAACCCTGAATTTAATGGTCAAATTGCAACAGTTACAGCACTTGGTGACTTTTAGTGCTTTACTTCATGTGCGACCGCATGTCTTTCCTATGGCAAACGTCCAGCTGTTCAGAGCTTGGAAAAAGTGAAGCATTTCATTGCAAATGAAAGTGAAGTGGAGAGACTTTGCCTCTTTTAATTTTCTTTTGTGGACGTGCTTCGATTGATTTCGATGAACTCGTTATCACAATCAAATACTTAGAGAGGTCTGTGACCATTAGGCGACGTATGAAAACAAACAAACACCAAATTGTGGCAGAATGTCTACGCTATTTAGGTCTGCGAACTTTAGTTTATCGCGTAACTGAGGTTTACTAAGAGGCACTCTCTACCTTCCCGAGATATATGGATTGATACACAAAGATGTATCAGAATGTTTAGTTGGATAAGGAAATGCAAGAGCTAATTCTTCTCCATCATGATGAGGCTGACGAGTGTTTCCAGGGAGCATTGTTAATTTCTCTTTCAAATAGAGATTTGTGGAGAAAAGCAAGAATGGGTCGAAATTATTTTAAACAATTTGGGACGATTTCTCTTCGAAAAAAGCCAAGCAGTTCGTGTAAGGGGCATTTAACATCAGATGCGACATTAGTAACCGGTTACGTGTCAGGCGGAGTCTGTACTTCCCTGGTTATCAGTGAGAGGAAGTCCTAAATAAGCTCTGCTGAAGATTACTACTGTTGAGCGCTAACAGCAATTCGCCAATATGACTTTCCGGACAATCACCTCTACGTAAGAGAAACACTTGAGGCTCTTCAACGAATGAAATGCATGGCACAATATCAAAGGACAACCACAGACAGTCTGCCAATCTCAAGGAAGGGAAAAGCCGCGAACTAGCCAGAGGAACATCCCAGACAAGTTATTAAGTGCTAAGTATCAGAATAGTAAAAGAGACCAATGCAACATTTAGAGAACAATTTTAAAACAAGAATCATTTTTGGTATTTTTAACTTTAAATGTCTTTAATAGCTTTACTCCACTATTTGTGGACAAATTGTTGTCTAGCCTGCGCATCTAATGATGCTTTAAATTTGTTGTAACTTAAATTGAATCTTCCTACAACTGGAAGTATCTTGGGGCTACAGCAAATTGGCTGTTCTCGCCGGAGCGGTAGGCATCGTAGAAGGTTCAACTGCCGGCCTCAATCGGAAACATGATAAAAGCCATTAACAATAAATTACAGAAGCAAGAATATTATAGAAACAGCAGAATTCAAACCTACAGCATATCTTTGATATTGTTAATATGAAACAAAAATAATATTATCTATATACTTAAAAGCTTAAAAATGATTCTCCTTGTTAGTAGTTTTTTCCGATTGTCCTTTCTTCCCTTCTCAAGGCAAGTTTCTTTTTTGACAAGTAGGTGTAGCTCCACTCCATTGTCTGTTTCTGCAAGTTATTTCTTTAGAGCCGACAAGTCGAAAATTCTTTTTACAACGGAATCGAACTTTTCGGTTATGTTTGAAATCACTTGCACTCCGTCTGCCATATTTGGGCGTGCCGGGGTTTGGGCACGGGGCTGAAATTCAAAAGAAAAATGAAACGATACGTTTGAAGTATGAAGAATACTGACAAAAGAAAAACAGTATAATTTGATTGATAGTATTTACCACATGGTGTTCATGGATTTTTCATAAACCCTAAATACAAGTACGGGACCGTTCTATGAATGAACAGATCTTGATCTATGTCCACAGCCTACACCGCCACTAGTGCACTTCTTGCACCTTAGACAGATTTCTGCTTTATCAGAAACAAGCCGTATGACCTTCCGATACTCGATAGCTTCCACGAAGAATTAACGACCAAATGTGTATGGGAAATGATGAATATAGAGTAAATTCTCTCCCAAACAAATTAACCTAACAAGGCACGGGGAACTCTTCAGTCCACTCACAACTGACTTATCTTTGCGTTTCATTTTTTATTTCGTTTTCATTGTGATTACAGAAAACAAATCAAGAATTCTGCTAACCTAAACATTTAGGCGTAGGTCTGCTCCAGGTGCCATCTTTCATGCAGTAGATTATATATGCTCCAACAAGTTTGTATTTTCCTTTGCAAGAAAATCGCACAGAGTTAGTGCGGTTGAATCTGTTGCCGTTTACAGGAATTCCGGGATCCGGACAAACAATCACTGAAAAATATCCGAAAGTTGTAAAGTAATTAACTAAGCGGAATATTTACCTGGAGAAATTAATAGTTCTTCATAGTTAAGTATTGAAAAACAAGACATTAAAAATGGATGGACACAAAGCCCCATCAATGGGAAAATTCCTTTGGTGGTCGATGAAAGGAGACAGTAACAACAATGTACACACCCAACTCAACCGCTGGGATCGATATCTTTTAATATTCAGTCGTGAAAGGGAGAATAAAGTCACGGAACTAAATTGACAATGTTCCTATGGTCTCTGACACTGCTGCGACCAGGTAGAATACGACCCAAATTTCTGTTTTCTTTTGTGTCTCTCCAATAACTTCCCCTTGGTGTCAGTAAAGGTGCTCACAGAACCAATTAGCCTCAACGTACATCAGAGGTTCAAGTTAAGCTAATTTTTGTAACGGACTTACAATCACATGATGGCTGTGTACCGCTCCACTGTCCATTTGAGAGACACGTCCGTGTTGACGGTCCAACCAATTTATATCGCATGCCAACGCAGCGGAATGTCACTTTTCCGTTGAGGGAAGTGGAAGATTCGACAATCCTTCCATTTGGAGGAGCAGTAAGAGGACGACATTTCACCTCTTAAAGAATTTAAATGAATTATTGGATTAAGTGCGAACGAGTTACAGGGTGGTGTTACGAGCGTCTTCTATAACTGAGTCAATCAGTCCTTGAGGAAGTCACTCTGTCAGTTATTCAGTCAGTCCCCATTAAATATCCGTGACATCCCGTCGGCGAAGTAGACTAGCTGCTACATCAGTCGATATCTACAATGAACGAATATTGCCTACGGCGAAAAACGATTCCAGTAAAGGAACCGCTGAGATTCATGCAATTTATCTAATTTGTACTCCAACAATTTTTGACTTTCCCCGTTAAGTTAGAGGCTCTAAGGAAGTATTGTTTTCTTCTGAAGTCGCAGTAAATTTTTAGGCGAGGGCGATTGTTTCGTCTTCACTTTAGGTGCCTCGCATCCTCGATAGGTTTCAAGAAATCTAAATACTCTTGTGTTGCGACTTAACGGTATAAGGGGTTAGTTCAATTTCACGGCAGCCAAGAAAAAAAAAACAAACAATGAAGGCGAACAAACAGGCAAACGCACTTGTGCATCGGGGTAATGTTCCACTCCATGT